ATGCATATAAGAATAGTCATGAATATTCTATTTTCCTAATTGCAATTGTATATTTTTGTAGATCAAATAAAATTTTTAAATATACCAATGGAATAGATTATGATTAACATGTCATAACAGTTGTATTATTATATTCATTAGCAATATAGAAACTGTTCAAATCAAAAGAAACATTTTTATGTACATAAAGAATATATTATCACAGGTGGGTTTTACATGTTTTACTAGTATTCTACATCATCAGAGTGAAAATATTAATTTTATGGAATGAGTTCTTGTGAATGAGCTATACAAAATGCAATTCACTCACTTCTTTGTTTTACTTGTGGATTAATTATATTAAATAAAAATAATTTTAGCAATAGACTTCATGGTCAGATAATTTGTTGCACCAAAGTAGTGATATGGAAACAGCCACATAATTTATTTTACTTATTTGCTGTTTAAAATTAATATAAAAGTATAAAGTTATTTCATTCACAAGCATTGCATGTATCATATATATATTTATATATGAGCATGTGAATTCTAAATTACAATATCATATTTTAGAAATAAAGTTTTATCTACTCATGTGAAATTTTCCTACACAAAGCACATGCAGATTTATTTTTAAATCTGAACTATTTAATCTGACTAGTAAAAGTATTTTTGATAACTAATAAAAACATTTAAAATTACATATTCTTATAACTACTAATACTAACTTAACACATGTTGTATTAAGATAATTGATATGATTGGACCATTTCATGTGAATCAAGTTTGAATAAGTATATATTCAATAGATATGAATGCAAGTGTTAAATACTTTCAGGACGTTTTTTCAGTAAAAAGTTTGCTCAATTTGTTTTGGACTAAAAATAATAACTTATGTCTATACCTGACTTTGAAAAAATTATAGCTGATATAGCTCATGCACTATTAGTTTTTATAAAATTCAATATCTTAAAAATCTAAGACAATTGAAGTAAGCCTTTAAAAATAAATATATTCAGATTATCTTAATGCATATTAAATATATTATATTCTATAACTTGCTTTTAAAGTTTGAGCTCTTCTTCTGTCGCTTTGTATTATTTTGCTTCTTTTTTATTCGATCAAAACACCAACCATCTTGATCACGTTTTTCTTCTCTAGATTTCGCTCTTTCGAAGAGCCAGTTATTGGATTTATGATTGTTTCTTTGCTCTTCCCTATGCTTAGCAAGTTCAGTAAACCAAGATCCATCAATATTATTACATTCATCATCACATAAGGATTCAAAGGCCCAGCCATCAGTTATTGATTCCACTTGCTTTGGCAAACTATTATTTTTTATTTGTGCTTTCTTGTTCTTAGGTTTTTTATGTATTGGCTCATCAGAAGAAGTTAATATAGTTTTTTCACTTGGAAAGTGTTTCACTTTACCTTCCTCGTCATCAGATTGGTCATTGGATGATGCCTTAGATACGTAATAATCATAACCTTTTTTCATTTCCCAGTCTTCATATTTATCTTTCTTTTCTTGTTTAAAATCACTTTTCCTTCGATCATTTTTTGATTCGTTTTTCTTCATCTTCATTTGCTTCATTTCTGATTGACTCATTGAATCAGTTTTATCCCCAATATTCATTTTAGATCTTTTTTCCTTTTTATAATTCTTTTTATGAGTTCTATTTTCTTTCAAGCTTTCATTTGTTTGTTGTGAAAGTTCATCTTCCGAGTATTTAGTTTTTTTAGGATTCTTTGACTTTTTGTCAGACTTATTTCGATTTTCTGTAGAATCATTTTTCAAATATAATTTTTCTTTATTCTTGCGCTCTTGGCTGATATTTTTTTGTGAAATTTTTGTATCAAGCTGTTGATCATGTTCAACATCATTTTGCTCTTGTGATTTTTCATCTCGTTTATTATCTAAAGATAAAACACTATTCTCATAATCTCCACTCTGCTTGCCAGTGCTAACTGATCTACCCTTCTTAGATCGATGATGATCTTTAAGATTCACTCGCTTTCTAAATTTACCATTGTCAGTTTTGTCATATTTGGTGTTCACTTTATTTGCACTCTTATTTGTTGAATTATTCATGTCAACTTTTGAATTTGTTTTACTATTTTTTTGTTTATCAGAATCCATAGTGTCATAGTTTTCATTCAAATTTGATTCAGTTTTACTTAATGAAGTGATTGTATCATTAGTATCAGAACCATTCAACGCTAGATTTGATATACCTGAGAAAGCAAATACTTCAGGATCAGGTTTGAAAGATTCTGTCACCACTTCACTTTCATTCGGAATTTCTGTCTCATTCACTGCAGATTCACTCAAAATATCTAGTTTATGTGAACTGCTATTTATACTCTCAGCATATGTTTTTGGCCCAATAAACACGTCATTATTTGTAATGTCATTATTATTGAAGTCAACTATAAATTGTAGTTTAGTATCAGCTAATTGTCTGATGCTTTGAAAGAAAACTCATTTCCTGTAGAATTTCTACGAGATTAGGAATATGCTTGTTATGAATACGACTGTTAAGATGCCATGACGCTCGTTTAGATCTTGCAATTCACTTTTAAGTTTGTAATTTTCATATTGCAATTGTTTGTAACTTAAATCATTATTCATTCCAACAGATAAGTTAGCACATTCAGATTTTGTGCCCATCAAATGTCCTAAAGCTAAACCAGCAGCTGTAGCAATTGTTCCTGCAACTAAAATATTAGCAAGTTGCTAACTTTATCATTTCTGTTGTGAAATAAGATCTCTTCTCTTCTATGTTTTTTGTCTGTTTTTTCAAACATAGTGGCATCACAGTCGATTGGTGTGTTAGGTGGTGTTAAAGGCTTATTAAATGGTATTTTATTTTTTTTTGGAGTCCGAGTCTCTGGCTGACCAGTCTGTGATTTGTTAAGCTGCGACTTATGTTTTGGGCTTCCAGAAGGAGTAGGGGATTCTTTACAGGCAGACGTGCATGCCGACACAGGATTCAGAATTTGATGTTCTTCAGGTTCACTTATTACAGAAATTCCATCTGAATCAGCATCAGCATCATTATTGGAATCATCTTGAAAACTCTGAGGACTGCCTCTAGAGATTTAAAATATTACTCTATATTATTTGTTATAAATACTATATTAATATAATTAAGTAATAATTAACTATATTCAAAGTATTCAATGTTGTAGAAAAAATTCTAATAAACAAAATTATTAATAATAAATTTATGTTGAAAAGCCTTCACATATTTAACTCTGTGGAGTAGTGAGGCAGGAAAAGTGTTATTTATCAAACTGAGAAATAAATCCTACTTAAATTATTTTAATATATATATTAGTTTATCTGTATTTGAATATATGTAGTATTAATACAAGGGTGGGTTGAAAAGTTTCCGACCTGAGCACGGTGATGACATTAAATTGAATGTCGAAACGTTTGGAATTAAAGATTAATTTATAAATCTTTGCTTTTTATTCTTTGATGTATCGCCCCACAAGAACTTACTCATATATCTCAACATCAAAAATAACAACTAAGTCATATATATATATATATATATATATTTATATAATATACATATAATATATAATAAATGGAAAACATTATTTATATGAGCCATGTATTTTAAAAGTGGCCTAACTCAGGTTTTCCATATTTTCCCGTTATCATGGCTATGTGTATAAATTTATGTTATTTAACAGTAAAGCATTTAGGTTGCTTATAATCCAAAAATCCAAACAAGATATGCCATTTTTGACACAAGTTTTCAGAGTTAGTTTAATAATCGTACTGTATAGTTTGCAAGTAGCCTAGCTTCATTTATACATAAATATTCAAGATGATATATAATGTCAGAAAGTAGTGATAAAGGTAATTTTAAGTAATTAGTATATACAAGTTAACCTTTATTTTTGGACAATTGTTTTAGTTGAATAACAAGTATATTTAATTAAAATAGAACTTAAAATTTATTTGTAAATTTTATAAAATATTTCACCTAGCGGAAAGAACAAAACAAGATTATTATTCAGATAGTAAAAAAGAAATAGTAAGTAATAATTTTAAAAAAGCTCTGAATTTATTAACACATCATGGTAGACCAAAATAGTTAAAAAAAATTTTTTGTATAAAAATTTCACTGAATTAAATTAGAGATACACCGCTGTGTAAAAGTACCAGATACATTACAACAGCAAAATTCAAGACCATAATAGATCTATTACGATATACACCACTGGAACATCATGATTTCTTGAAATCTCTTTAACACAAACAAAATGTAGATTAGTAAATCTTTTTGAATAAAACCATGTTTCTAATTTTGCATATTATGAAGTATTTTTAAAATATTAAAAATCAATTAAGTATTGTTTTTTTTTAATTCAAAGCATCTTTACTTATGTTGAATAGAAATGACATCTTCAAATTTTATATTGAATCTAGTTGTGGCCTAACCTAATCCATTCTTGATAAGTAAACGTATATTATATTACTAAATAATTCATCACAATTAATATGAACTATAAATTTAACAACTGTAAATACACTTAAACAGTACAACTCATTAATGTCCTACACATATATTTTTAAATTCATCAAAATGCAAATTCTTAGATATCTCGATTTTAAGATAAATGGTCATAGGATCTTTCAAAATAAACGGCTCATATATTGTGATTAGCAGATCATAAGTTAGCTGTAGTACAAATATAAATGTAACAAATAATGCCAAGAGAAAAGCATACAAAACCACAATTTACCTAATGAAACATTTATAATTAAGCACATGTTCCCTTATCACTTGCACGATGCAACTGTAGAAATAATATGCATAACTTTGATTCAATTTAACAAACCTCATATTCGATAATTCTGAAAAATGATCAAAAACATTTTCAGATTCCAAGTGGTTAATGACATCCGCCATCCTGTTACAGAAAGAATTTCTATCAATTATTGTCCAACTGTCTCCAAAATCCGAATCGGATGACGTTTCAGCCCGTTTATCGTCCATGTTTGCTAAAACATACAAAAAAAGCTCAGAAAAAGGTTTTCTACATTCGCAAACGATAACTGTGCACATCACACATCAATATAATGAATTTAGATTATTTTCACTCACTTTTACTGTAAATTTTGAGAACTTTAAAATTTTGATTTAAATTGTGGTTTCTATTGCGAGGGTGGACTCGAACTCGACTTTTTTTTGTTTTGAAAACAGTGTACTGAATTTTATAACAGATTTCATTTTATTTTGACTTTGACGTCTTGCAACAAATTGGCCTTGGAATTATTGTGACTGACATTCTGAAATGTAGTACCGACTGTTTGACAGCCAAGTTGACAACTGCAGTGAAGTTGCGCAAGATAACGATTATCACTAATCAGAGCGGACAATTTGAATAAATATTGAAAATGATAAGAAAAATTAGTAAGAGCGTATGAATAAATATTACGCAAATGGATTAATGGAATGAATAGAAAATTATGATTATTTATTAATTTATGGAACGTTCCGTACCAAATTAATTTTTTTAAAAAAGCCCCAAAGTTTTCTTAAAACTTTGAAAAAATTAGATGTTAGAGAATTTTGAAATTTTTAAAGAAAAATGACCTTTTTGAAAAAATAGAATTTGTTTACATTTTAAAATACATATTTTAAAAGTTTTGAACTTTTTTCAAAGTAATCGTGATGCGTTAGCTGCATAGAAACGAAATAGCAAAGCGCGTAAGCGCTGCGTTGCAGTTTAGCGGATAAACATTGGTACGGTACCTATAAAAATGTAAACAAAATTTGTTCTTATTATTAAGAACTCTATGAAATATCTGATAATTTGATGTGCTTATGTTATTATCATTAGAGCTTATATTATTATCATTAGAGCTTATATTATTATCATTAATTTAGAACAGATATTTAAATGAATATCTTCAATCGATAAGGATAAGGAAGGACAGTTTAATAAACATCTATTTACAAAGAATCAAATTGGTTTGAATAGATTAAAAATGATGAATGATATGATATAAACGATATATTTCTAGCAATCAATATGTAAATTAAAAAAGAATTTAGTAAATTTGGAACTATGATTGATATATTAATCTAATTAACATAATGATATATTTAGCTAATGGTTTCTGTTGTTTCATTTTTTTTAATTAGTACAAAATTGGTCATACGATATGAACACTGGATATGATCCTTGAATTTTAATTAAATGGAAACTTTCTCTAAAAGAGAATATATTATAAGAAATAATATATTCGCATTTAAAATAAATATCAAACTAGTGGGGTGGGTGGCATCGTGCCTTAAAGCAAATTGCTGGAACTTCCCGTACCGTAACGAAATGTTCGAGGAAAATTGAATGTTTTCAAATAGATTATTATAAATATTGTAACATTGTCTAATATTTATAAGAATTATATAAACTGAATTGCAGAGTTGAAATTATTTGTTTAAAGTATATTAGAACTATAATCAGAATTAAAAATAAAATCTGAATTATTTTCGATAAAAAAATTAAAAAAAAAAAAAAATTAAACAAATTTTTTTTCCAAAATCAATTATTTTGTTAAGACAAGCAGAAAGTTCTTTGAATCAATTGAATCGGACGCTTAGTTTTCTCAAAAACTGCCATTTGTTGTACATTAGCTCTGTATCTCCGAAATGGCCGGGCCTGCTTTTGCGAAAAACTAATAACCCCTTCTCCCAATCATTACTAATTGAATGTTTTTTAGATCATTCAAATCGGATGCTCCGTTCTCTCAAAAACTCGATTTATATTTTCTGCACTCTTTGCTCCTCATCTCCGTAACTGCTGGACCTGCCTTTGCCAAAAACTAATCAGCACATCTCCTTATCAATAGGAATCAAATTTTTAAACCATTCAAATCGGTTGATCCGTACGCCCGAAAACGTGGGCGAAAATTTGTATCCATACATACATACACACACACACACATCCATTTTTTCTGAAGTATGCCAAAATGTTCAGATACCTTCAAAACGTCGAGAAATGTAAAAATTTTCAATTCCGATTTTCGGCCCATTACAATAACTTATCCTACGGGAAGTTAATTACTAGATATATTGGAAAAGGAAAATCACCTGTATTTTATTCTCTATCTGTGTATATAGAGTCACAAGAACATACATGATCAAATTAGCCTTCCTGATTAAGATATAATTCTAGCATTTAGAAAACAATAAGACATAAATACACATAAATCAATAAGTACATAAATCAAATTATTAGTATTGCAAAGCAAATAAACGAATATTTTAATACAATAGTTCAATTAAAGAATACAATACTATTCGAAAAAAACATTATCATACGAAGTCTAAGTACTAACACATAAACATATCACTATAAAAATAAATATTTTTAGCAGAATTGGGGAACTAGGGTCTATTTGGATTATCTAATAACAGGCGTATTGCAATAGGATCTCGAACAATATTATAATATTTCATGTTCCATTGGACATAATGGTCCTGCATATTGCTACTGTCCCGCAGGCCGATGCAATAAACAGAACTGTGCAGGTCCGTCATTTTTGACAGATAACATAAAATTGATCTTATATATAACTAGCTGTAAGTGGAATTCTGTCTTAAGGCAATTAGGGCATCGTGCCTTAAGGCAAATTGCTGGAACTTCCCGTACCAAAAATTATTATTTTTTTAAAAACGATTAACATTTTTGAAAAAAATTTACTTCGAAATAATTAGATTTTTGAGAAACTAGGAATATGACAAAAAATTACTTTTTTTCGAAAAAAAAATTTTTATTTGAAAAAAAAAATTTTTTTTTGAAAGAAATTTTTTTTTTTGAAAACAAACTATTTTTTTGAAAAGAAAAATGTTTTCTTCATTTTGACATATTTTGGAAATTCTGAACTTTTTTCAAAGCAATCGTACTGCTTGAACTGCATAGAGACGAATTGTCACAGCGCAAGTGCCGCGCCGCCGTCTAACGCATAAACATTGGTACGGAACCCATAGAAATGTAAAAAAAAATTATACTTATTGTTAAAATTTCTATACAATAACTGATAATTTGATGTGCATATGTCTAATCATCATTTTTAACCGCCGAATGGCATTTTTTTTTACTTTTTTCATTAGATCTCCGAAACCGCTAGACCTGCCTTCATGAAAATTTGATCAACTCTTCACCTTGTCAATACAAGTAAAATGTTTTTTGAATTATTCAAATCGGGCGCTCCGTTCTCTTAAAAACTGAGTTACCGTTTTCGGCACTTTTTGCCCCGTATCTTTGGAACGGCTGGACCTGCCTTCGCCAAAAACTAATCAGCACGTCTCCTTATCAATACGAATCGAATGTTTTTTGAATTATTCAAATCGGTTGATCCGTGTTCCCGAAATCGTCGACGAAAATTTGTATCCGCACATACATACACACACATACATACACACACACACACACACACACACATACATCCATTTTTTCTAAGGTATGCCAAAATGTTCAGAAACCTCTGAAACGTAAAGATATATAAAAATTTTCATTTTCGATTTTTTTGCGATTACTATAACTTACCCTACGGGAAGTTAAAAATGGACCGCAAAATGTGTTGGTAAGCGCATAACTCAACCACGCCTGAACCAATTTGGCCAATTCTTTTTTTAAAATGTTCGTTGATGTCCAAGGATGGTTCTTACGGCGAGAAAAATCGAAAAATTGCCGGAAAACCGCTAAAAACAGCCCTTTTCTTTTTCTCATACAAACGTTTTCTAACTAAAACGTAGAATCAATTTGAGCTTTATTACTATCATAAAAAGTTCGTATTAAATTACAATCACTCACTGTATACTTCTTTTCAACGATTATTTGGATTTTGATAAATGTTTCTGAAGTTTGTTAAGGAAAATTTCTAGAGTGTATGTGATTACATAGTACTGGGATGTATGTGCAATATTGTAGAAATAAATGGAAAAAAATGCAAAGAACGACATGTTATTGTTTGCATTGAAAATAAATAAAAAACTATCATCTGCCAAAAATTTCAATTTACTTATGAATAAGAAAAATGAAATGTCTACATTATCATTGCCAAAAAGCAGCTGAGATGTGCCAGAAATTAAAATAATGTAAAATACGGTATATGTATGGCAGATTGAATAATAAGCATATGAACAAATATGACAAATTAATTCACTTAAAATATGAAATTAAGTATTAATCAGGGCCGGTCTTACCTTTAATGCAATGCATGCGAAAAATACGAGCGCACGCCTTAGGGGGCGCCAACACAAGAGTCGGACACAATATTGTTTTTTTTTTCAATATATAATTTCTTTTCATTTTTTACTAATCTTTTCACAATATTTTTAAAATTCGTAAAACTTTCACTTTATAACAACAAATGGGAAAGTAAAGATGAATACATACAATTCGGCCCTCACGATATCAATTAGGAGAAGTTTAAGATGCAATTTTGGATATCTTAAATAATAAAAAATTAAATTAATTTGATCCAACATGAAGTACCAGTGTTATGTTATGGTTATGGTTATTTTATACCGTTCAAAAGACTTCAATTTCCAACATAGTGTGGGAATTGAGATTCATCATTTTATTTAAAGCAGATCTACATTTAACATCGCTCTTATTATAAACGTATATGCATTTTGGCGTGAAGAGTAATTTAAAAAACAATAATTAATACTTTTAGGTAAACGGTAAATATTAGTATATTATATTAAAAAATTGTAGACATGTGTACAGGACAACGTCTGTCGGGTCAGCTAGTTTATCATAAAATTTCAGTTTGCGACTTTGCGTTATTATTATCGACTGACATTAAGTTTTATATATCTTATTACGATTCAAATTTGTCACTCCTATCAGTGTAACAATTTTTGTAATTGAGAAATTGTATAATTAGTTATCTTGATTCATGTATAAAAACCCACATAAGGTTAGTTAAAACATACAAGAATTATATATAGATGTGAAGAAGATTTGATGGACTTTTGATGGCAAAATATGGACACATGTAAATTGTATTATAAGAGACACAATATCTTTTATTTGTATTATGATACTAATTGTAGTTTACGTTAATTTATGATGAAAATATAGGTAATATTATATATTTCATTTGCTTTAATTATGGTTTGTGATAACGTATGAAATGAATTACTCAGAAACAAATAAAATCCTTAATAATGAATACAGAATAAATTATCAGAGGCATTATTATTAGGCTTGCAACGAATAATATATTCGGCAAAATGCCGAATACCGAATATTCGGCAACTATTCGGCAGGTTTTAAGCCTA